TTATAGACACACACACACACACACACACACACACACACACACACACACACACACACACACACACACACACACAATGGTATATTTATATTGTAATAAAGTGATTAAAATCTGTTATCATAACACTTTGTACAAAGGTTTTCAGTCATTTCTGATGAGGAGATTATGATTTTGTTTTTCATATTAATGTTTTTTTTTCTACTTAAATATGTATCATTCACTTTTTTCAAAAAAGGTATTTTAATTTTTATTTTATTGAAGTAAAGTTTTAATGTTAACTGAGGTACTGTGTTATAAAATAAATATGCACATAATGATAATAATGCATTTTAGTTTTATTTACTCATTATTTTGGCAAGTTTGTTAAGAAAATATATAACTAAAGCAGAAAGTTTTAGATATCATTTAACGATTTATGTTTTGATTGAAACAGAACACTTACGGTAGACAAGTAAATGAAATAGATCTAATTCTACAAATTGTATCAATTGGACATAGATGATAAAATCACTATATAGTAGTGATGGAGATTTGTATCTGGATTTATGCTAATAGTCTTGGTTGTATATAGGAATATATGTGAGCATAATTGACCTACTTAACAAAGGATGTACGCGCATGTATGCAGGGGGGATTGCCCCGAACCCTCTATTTTTTTTTTTATGTAAAAAGATTATGCTTATATAGTTATGGCGAAGCTGCTTATGGTATTTAACATTTTTTACATAGTCTGCATTCTTCTGATGAAGCATTAGCACTTTTTGGCTTGAAATAGTCGCATGCAGTGACTTATGTTAACACTTTGTAATTGAAATCTCAAAGTTGTATTGCTATTGTTGGATTTTTTAGGCTGGATTCTTTACAGTAGGTGTCTGTGGCTTGTTGGCAATAAATTTTGACAATAAACAGCAACACAGTTCACTTATTTTTAAATAATATATTAAAACAAGTCAAATGTATACACAAATGTGCCTTTCAATACTGGTTACCACAGGTGTATCCCAAGCTTTAAGTAATTATCCT